TGGATAATACTAAGAATATTTTGGACAATAATAGAACAGATAAACTAAGAATACGTTTGGCTCTATGCCACAGGCCCTCACTAGGTAGAAGAGCTTTGTTGTTGATTGGACATTTGAAATTAAGGAGGATTGGGACTGATTTTATCGTTCTTCCCCTCTTCCACCTGAAACCTATGTGTTTTTTTTCCAAAAGTAGTATGTGTCTGAGGACACAGCACAGTGCTGCAGCAAAGTACACCCTAAGGAAGGCTTTACCTCTGCACATTTTCTGATAACTTGCCAGCCAGAGACAGGTTCATCAATAATGATAATGGTTTTTTGTCGAAGAAAACTAGTGCACTAAGCCACAGACTTGCTCAACTCTATAAAGGAATCAAAGTAACCAGCATCCTCGTAAGGAAAGTGAGACAAGAACATGACTCCTAATGGGAAGAGCTGAGTTACAAAAGAAATAGAAGGATAAAGCTCCCTTTGCTGAAAAGCAGAAGCAGGTTTTCAACCAGTGAAATCTGTCACCTTGTTATCAGCTGAGAAACAGAACTCAAGCCCTGACTTCACCATACCTCACCAGTATTGACTGCAGGCTATGACAGAGCATGGAATGCCTCATTTCTGACAAATGGGGCATATTGCAGCTGCCTCTGCAAATGCAGTCAATAATGAAAATTTGTATTAAGGTTGCACCCAAACCCCCATTACTGGAAATAATGAAAATTTGTATTAAGGTTGCATCCACACCCCCATTACTGGCTAGGTTGAACACACTTAAAAGCCAGTGGCACCTTTGCCAAAGATTGCTGCAAGGAGCTTGCAACCCTGCTGCTATGAGGACAAGAGTGTATTATTCAAGAATTTTAGGTTACTGTACACATGCTTGCAACCCTGCTGCTATGAGGACAAAAGTGTATTATTCAAGAATTTTAGGTTAGTGTACACACGGGTTTCCTACTTTTCTGCATGGAAATCAAGAGGGGCAGATCTGGTGGATTTTCCATATTTAGGATATATTCATGCTTCTGAATATTCACCCAGTCATCAAAGTGGTCATAAATCAAGAAGAAAGCCCTGCTGAGCCCCTTGGGAAGAGGGGAGGCTCACTGTTTGCTATGCATTTCACCCACACATGCAGCCCCTTGGGAAGAGGGGAGGCTCACTCTTTGTTTGCTATGCATTTCACCCACATGTGTATGCAGGTCTAAGATATCTCACATGTACCTGCATGAACCACCTTCACTGACACCTCTGGTACACAGCACCTGGGCACATGTTTCTGCCTGGGAAATAACATGAAGAGATTGAGTAGCTCAAATTTAAAGGAACTGGGTAACTATATTTTAATGTGAAATGTGTGTGCCTGTGACAGCCACCAGAGAGACAGATAGAAGGAGAAGAGATGTAGGAAAACAGAGAATTTAAGTGGTACAGCATGAGAGACAAAGCATGGCAAAGGTAAACAGAGAGAAAAATGGGAAGAGGGTACCAGAGGGCAGAGCAGGATGCACGGAGAGGAGTATTTGTGACACAGAGGGGACAGATGGGTGTGGCATGGGAATTGGGGAGAGAAAGAGGGATAGAAATTGAGAGAAAGGGAGCTGGAGGAACAGAGGATGGAGGTATAGGTGGACAGAGGCAAGACAGAAGTGTCACAGAAGGCTTGGGAGGGGTATGTGTGTGCAGGGAAAAGAAAGGTGAAACACATAAAAGGACAAGTGTGAGACCGGGAAGTTCATCTCATAGGATCATAGTATATTAAGGGCTTGAAATGGACCTTAGAGATCATGTAGTCCCAACCCTCTGCCCTGCACAGGGACACCTCCCACCAGAGCAGGTTGCCCAAGGCTTTTATCCAGCCTGGCTCTGAACACTGCCAGGGCTGGGGCATCCACAGCCTCCCTGGGCAACCTGTGCCAGTGTCCCAACCACACTTGCAGTTAAAATATTTTTCCTAATATCTAATCTAAATGTCCCTCTTTCAATTTATACCCTTACTCCTTGTCCGACTGTGACATTTCGTAATGAAGAGTCTCTCTCCAGCTTCCTTATAGCCCCTTCAGATACTGGAAGGTGCTATGAGGACCCCACACAACCTTCTCTTCTCCAGCTTTCTCAGCCTGCCCTTTAGTGAAGGTGCTCCAGTCCTCTTTTCAGCTTCATGGCCTCCTCTGGACTTGCTTCAATAATTCCATGTCCTCCTTATGTTGAGGACACCAGAACTGTCCACAATACTCCAGGTGGGGTCTCGCTGTCCCAAGGTTGGAGGTGAACCCTTTTTGTACATGTAAGGTACAAAAAGCAATGTAACTTACTCTGGCTGTTCACATATTCCTGGTTCTGACAAGAAGCTAGAGCTGCCTGTAAAAATAAATGTCACATCAACATGCACAACCCCATTGCACGTTGCCTTGTCCTAAAAGGGAAAAGCATCGCTAATTATGATTATTTGCCAAGCTCTAAACAAAACAGATACTTAATCCAAACTAGAGATGTATTTTCAAATAGCTAAGATGTTAGATTCATGACACTATGCTAACACAGGTGTAAGACAACCACCACACTCAAGCCTGCAATCCAAAAAACAAACAGGGCTTGGCTGGGCAATGAGTGTTTGGGAGAAAGATCAACACAGCTCTTTGGGGTTCTTTAGTGACAATTTAAAACTGAACTCCAGATGTTTATGATAGAAGTAAAGCAGAAGCATGAAAGGGATGGAGCAGTGAGCAAGGTGTCACTCCAAACAAAAAACACATGGAGCTATTTCAAGAGAGTGACTGTCAGTCATGTAAATGTACAAACCATGAAACAGGGAAAGTGCAATTATCCAAACCCCAAGCATGGGAAACCCATGAAATTTCAGGATTGTACTTAAATGTGACTTGAATAGGCTAATATCCCTAACTTGGCCTGGATGAAACAGGAGAAGTGGGTAAAATACATGGAAAAAGCCCATTAGTGTTGTACAAATGAATCTATTCTAATCTGAGACCAAAAGCACTAGAACACTGCAATCAGGGTGAGATAGGTCTACAGCAATTTTTCAGGCCTATTGCTGGAGACAGAACAGAAATGTAGCCTTTACCCTTTACAACAATACCCAAATGACAGCTGTATGAAGGATTTCAGTGCATTAAAACTAACTACTGACATTAAATTAATTTTTTTAGTGGCAGGACAGAGTTAAGGGTGGTGATATCAGAATAAATAGTATGACAACACGAACAGCTTGGAGCAACTCTGGTCCTCATTTTCTGCAAGTTAAACATTCATACTAAAACAAAAAAGCATCAACTCTTTAATTCCCAAAGTACTGAAAACACTACAATTTGATAAATAGAGGCTTCAGGAAGCCTCCTTCATTTTGCAGATAGGACTGTCAGACTGACCATCCAGTCACCTGTCAGACCACAGAGGTCAGTTCAAGAGTGGATGGAGATATCCTGAAAGTAGTTCTATGGTTCACAACTGGATGACTGAGCCCAGGCAGACTTAGCTGAGCCTACAGTAGGAGCCACAGCCTCAGTCACACTTCTCCATCAACCTGCTAATCTTCCATGTGCCATAAGGAGCCACAGCCTCAGTCACACTTCTCTATCAACCTGCTAATCTTCTATGGGCCCTGTGCTTCCTTGGTACTATTCCTTTTCTCTTCTCTCCCTCCTACTGCAACAGTGTTTGCTCCTGAATCCTAACTGTCATAACCTTCAGTCCCACTAATGCACAGGACTTAGGAATTCTCTCCTCTTCCTGGATCCTGAACAAGATTTCTCATACAAAGACTTTGTTTCTTCTTTGTGGAGCTCAAAGAGTGAAACACACAAAGGCAGGTGAACTGCAGCCAGGCCCTTGGCCACCCCACAGCATGCTGAGCAATGTTCCTGTTGGATTAATTGAAGAGGGCTGCTTTGGAAAGCTCCTGCCTCCAAATCAAAGACCCATGCAACCATTTCTTAATGTAGCATCTTAAACTAAATGGCCTTACTAACTCTGCAACACTTCCTATTCTAAAGAAGCCACAGGGTGGAAGAAGAAATAGCACTACAGCTTGCTTGCTCTGCTCTGCAGTTCCTTAGGAATCCAAGGAAGCCTAGATCTGGTTACCCTAAGACAGCACCTGACCTTGAGAAAATAATTCCAGCTTTCATGGCCAAAGGAGCAGAGAGAGACATTGGTGCTGTCATGAGCTGCATAGCTCAGACATGAGTTATCTACTATGAGTATTTTGGTACCTTACTTTTTCTTGTTGTAAACCAAATGTAAACTAATAACCTATTTCATACAGGCATCTAAAGACTTAACTGCACTCATGTTCACAAATGCTCCAAGATCTTTCTGGAAATGGCCTAAGGAAAAGCAAAGTATTCATATTTTTAATAAGTTTAACTGGTGCACCTAGCTGTCACTTTTGTGCCTGATTAGTGGCAATAGGCAGTTTTCTATTTACTTCCAAGCAGCTGCCAGAAGAGCTGCAGGCAGACATAATCTGGAGACTGCAGAACTCTGCTCCCTGTCAATTTCACACCAGCATTTTACTTTCTTCTATCCCCATTTATCATTAATCTCTATTTATATCTAACTCCAGCTCTTAGTTAGCCTTTGCCAGGGGCGTAACTATCAGAGGTGACTGTGAGGAAAGGATGGAAGGAAGAAATTGCCATAAATCAGGCTTTTACCATTCCACGTGATTCTGAGGAGGTGAGAAACTGTGTAAAGCTTGGGCTAGTTAGGAAGACAACAGTCTGCACAGCAGATCAGACCAGGTTAAGTCTCCTTTATCCTTGGTGCTAAATATGAAGAGCAAATATCTGTATTGCAGAACTTTCTTTCTAATCGTGCTCAGTTCCTACTTTTTACACAGCTTTACATCCCTTTCAAATTTCTATCCATTCTAATTCAGGAGATATTCTTGAATTTGATGCTTTCTGAATCCTCAGGAAGACCATGTCACATTTATTCTAAGTAAGCACTGTATAAAAACATACTTTTCCCATCAGTTTTCAAAGCATTGCTTTTTAATTCAATATTAAGAACAAGACCACAGTCAATTATGAAAAGATAAACAGAAGAACCTGATTCACTTTGTCCTCTCCAAAGTAAACAATCTCAGTGTAAGCAGCAGAATTAACACCACTTGTTTTCTACTAATGGCTTTTTTTAAGGCTTCAAATATTTTTTCATATTTTGCTTTTTTTAATCCCTTTTGTATAGGTATGAACAGCATGTTCCAAGTAAGACAACACACCATTCATTTAATAAACACGTTCCATTATTTTTCAGACCGTTCCTTACCCATCTTTACGTTTTGCTCACTTCTTTTGTTCACTTTACTGTAAATGAGAAGCCCCCTCAGTCTTATCTTTCCTTCAGAGGTAAAATGAATGCAATTCATTGCAAAGGCTGTCCATAAGTTTTCCAAGATGGAGACAAAGATGTCACACATATGTGCTGTGTATGATAAAGTTTCCCACAGCAGTGTGACAGGCATTCAATTTATTGCACACTTTCCCCAAATGTTCCCATATATCCAGACAGCCTATCCAGACAGCAATCCTAAGAAAGACTCTAGGCTTCAGATCAAGTTTTTTTGAAATCTTCCCCTAGTCTTTTCCAGCAATAGTAGCTTCAGCAGACTAGCCAGCTGTGATTTCACTTTACTCTGCTTGACATAAGCATTATGGTCTTTGAGCATCCAGTCAGAATGGGAATGTCATTAGGAACTCGGAGAAGTCATCTTCCACTTCTTCAGTGTTCAGTCATAATGAAAGCTCTTCAGTGTTCCTCCTCCAAACCTTTTCCTTTCAGAGAAGGCAGGAATCTAGAGAAACAGAAGATAGGTTGTCATGTCAGAATCAGCATGAGCTCTGTCTAGCACACATCTGAGTGCCTGTTACCAAGCCAACTCTGTCTCCAGAGTCAGGACTACAAAGCTTCAGCTCACTGCTAGAGGAGCACCATTAATGAAACACACTGCACAACTCGAGGATGGCCCATTTGTTCTGTGGTGTTCCTTAAGGTTTTTTGGCAAGGGGTACAACAAAAGCCTTAATTCCTTGGGCAAATCCTAAACCAGCTAATTACATATTTCAAAGTCTGCATTTCCCCCCAGATTCGAAGACATACCAGAATTTCTCCTCCGTTCATCTTTAAAATAATAAAACAGTTTAACCAAGTCCTGTTAAAGAGCTGTCGAGGCTTTAAGTCTTCTAACCTGGGACAGCAGCATTGCACTGGCAGTTGAAAGTAAAATTTTATCAATGGCTGCAACACAAAGGATTAGTGCTGCTGCTTTTGCAGACAATCTTTAGATACTGCTTATACCAGTGAATGTTTACAGAGAAAATCTGCTTGAAACCATCAGAAGCTTCTCTGGCTTAACAGTATTTCAGACAGATTGTCAGTCCAATGCATCCGTGAATCCCCAGAAGAAAGCGACGTGTTAGTTTCTAATTCTGTGTAAGATAACTGTCCTACTGGCATCATAAAACTCATTACAGCCCAGACTTTTACCTTACTGAGTACACACAAGCAGAAACAGCAGACCCAATTCCACACTTTCACAGGAAAGACAGCATATTAAAGTGGAAGATGTCAACCAAGCACTACAGATCTCACCAGGAGAACATGGGCACACATGGATGGGATGAAAATGTAACCTACCATTCACAGCAGACTACTCAGGTTCATTGGTAAACTCAGAGAGCTAAAGAGCTCTCCCAAAATAAAAGTTAATGAAAAACTCCACAAATTAAATTTCCTTAGGGTTTTCAGGCCCTGAACTCAAAGAGATATGCAAGGTATTAATTGAAGTATTGTTTTACTCATCTCTGAAAAGCAATCAGCTCTAAGGGAAACAAATCAGGTAGATTTTGCACAAAGGTTTAACTCATGAAAACTGCTCTGGGAATTCAAAAAGGAAAAATGCAATCATTACAACTATAAAGCAGCTGGACGTCATAGGTAAAAGTTATCTGCTTTAGCATTTTTTATATCAAGGTCACTAATTATGAGTAACAATTATTTATTTATCAGAGATCTGACTGAAGCCTTAGCTATGAACAATTCGAAACTTATCATTCTGTTCAAGCTGAAGCAATCTACAGCAGAAATGACCTGCTGTAGGAAACCCACAAACACATTTGCAAGAGTTACATTAAGGAGATAATTTCAAATAATAACATGAAGAGGTTGTATTGAAAATCTCCATTTCCAATTTGGATTTTGCCTCTCTAAACATGACTGTCCCTTACTTAAGATTTGTTTTAGGCTTTTGAGCTCATCAGTGAAGCAGATGAAAATAGTCATCAGCAGGCTGTAATCTTTGGCACACAGCCACACACATAAGGAATACAGAGTTAATCCCTGGCTAGCCACTAAATATGATCAAATAATAAAAATCTTACATCATGCATCAAAGACAACCAGCACACAAGCAGATTTCTGCATTAAGCTATTATCCCCATAAAAGGGAAATTTCCTTTCCCTAGAACATTGGGAGAGGGGAGGAAAAGAGGCATCATGCAGAACTGAAAGAGGCAAAAGCAAGTTTATTTTTAAAAGGCACTAAAAAAATGTTCAAGGAAGGGAAACATTTTGTGACTATTTTTTCCCCTGCTCTCCCTGAGGGGCTTTCAGCACAGCTACCTCTAATGACATGTTTGACTGGATTTCAGTGATGCTACCCATGGTAATTTGCAAGTACCTCACAGATATGCTAAGTGCAACCTTGCTACTCCCTGCACGGTAGACCACACTTGGGAAGGTGAGGGGGGGAAAGGGAGGCCACAAAAAGTTGAAATGATCTGCCCAAACCAGAAGTCATTTTGCTAGTTCTTCACCAACTGTGCTGAGAACAGCTGAATCAGTCATTTGGGAATGAATTACAAGCTGGTATCATACTGCCACTTTTTTTGTGGTTCCATTGGGTCTATGAAAACTACCTGTACAAAATATATAATATGCTAGTTCCAGAGGTTAAGAAAAAAAAAAAGCCTTTTCATTGCCCTTCTGGATAGCATCTCTGGTCTAAATCTGCAACTAAGCAGCCTGAAGCTGACAGAGCTGAAAGAAATCATATTTGCCCATTTTAGCCTCGTGCAACTTCTACTGTGTTAGCATACTTAAGTATTTCACTGCCGATCATGCTGCAGATACTTCAGCTGACAAAAGTCAGTCATTTTTTCTATCCCAAACAGCTGTGCTCCCACAGATATAAGAACTCAATTACCAGCACAGATTATCATTTAAGTCACATGAAGCCCCTGTTTGAAGGAGGACTCTGTCAGCAGTTAACATTACACAGGGAGAAATGAAACGAGAAAGGAGGAAAAATGACAAACCTGATTGCCATCTCTTAAGAAGTATCTCTTCTCTATGACCTGGGAACAAGAGAGAATAATCTTTGCTTGCACAGCATATGCATAACCTCAGATTCCAAGCAACATTTCACACATGAGCACTGAAACTCATAGCTAAGAGGGACAAGGTCCAAACCCACATCCCCTGCTCCAGACCTGTTGCTTTAAGTGCAATGCTCTCTTACATGTAGGAGTTGGCATCTCCAGCCATTCTTAGTAATGCTGTGTTACCCTAAACTTCAACATACCTAATTTAGTTAACCCTCTTGGGTAATGGAGGTAATGATCTGGGAGTCTTCCTCTGCATCAAGAGTACTTTACTCCCATTCTCCCTCTGCAGGTGCAGTGGTTCCACTGATACACAGTAGCTCCACTATGCTACCTTTGTCCAAGGGATGCTTCACCCAGATATTCTATCATTTTCACAGTGGATCTGGATGGCCTCTTTTTCAGAAAGGGAGAATAATATGCCCAGTTTCTTAACTCCTACAGGTTGCTTTAACCAGGATCAACAGAGCTAACCATAGTCTTGTAACTCCCCACATTACTACCTCAGAATGCAGCAACCCCTCTGACCTGCCAAACAACTTCAAAAAGCACATGCAGAGTGTCTTTGCACACTAATGAGTTCTTTTTCATTTCTCTATGCAGATCAAGAATCAAGTCTGCAAGCAGATCAGCTATGTTCTGGAGGGTTCCAAGAGCAGACCATTCTTTGGCCTCCCCATGCCTGCCTTGAACCAATACAAAAAGTGGAAGGTGGAAGGAGCAGCTAACTTGTCCACGTTCAAATCACAGACAGCATTCAATACATAGGACAATAAAACATCATTTAATTGACTTACCTTATCAAAAAACCTGCTTAGTTTGACAGCATTGGATGAACCTGCAGCCAGGTAACGAGGATTGGTGCAATCCTAGAACACAGGAAAGACAACAAACTAAGTGCAAGGAAATCAATGCAAGGAAGCCACACACATGGAAATCAACACACCCTTTCCCCGACACATGGAACCAGCTGGGGAAAACCATATCTGCTGATTTCTGCTCCAGAGTCATTTGAGAGAAAAGGCCAACTTCTGCTCTGTGAATCAACTGCAGAATTCTAAGTCACCCCCTGTGTACTCCACACCTTCGTTCTGTCAACAGCTGTACAGTCAGCTCATAACCTGTACAGGCCACACCTGAGACCGTGCTCTGTGTGTGTGTGTGCACAAGCATTCACACAGCACATGTGTATTTTTATACACAGATACCCATATAAAGTGATCTTGATGTTTCATTCAAAGACAGCCTGTGTCAGAACTATGAACAGGGAAGAGAAAATTTAACTCCCAGCCATCAATTCTAAGTTTCAGTGACCTTATCTAACACCCCCTACACCTCCCTGTAGTGAAACAAAGATGACTACTTCATCAAGCAAGGGGCACAGCCAGTCAAAATGTGCATGACTTGGGCACTATTGGAAAAATCTCCAGAAGTCAAATATTTGGGACAACTTTACTTACTAAAAATTGGACTCACTCCCATATGAAAGTAAAACAACACTGATGACAAAGATACTAACCAAATTTATCTCTTCAGCATTGAAATCCTCAGCCAAGAAAGCTGTTCTGGTCAAAACTTCATTCCTCTTAGTTTCTGGGATCTGATCCAGCTTAGTTCCTATTACCAGCAGTGGAATCTGGTTATCAGCAAACTGCTCACGGTCATAGTCACTGGTGAGGGAAACAAGCACAAGCCTGAATGAGGCAATGGTCATGTAAGTGGGCCCAGAGGCACCATCAGGTCCCCTGTCCCTTTCAAAGAACAGTCAATTATTTATTAAGGGTCCCTATTTACCTAAGTGAGAATGTGCTGTATCTGTAAATTAAGGAAGGGCTTCTGCATCTAAAGTCACAACACAGGAATTGAAAAGAAAGAAACCACATGAGGTGGATTCCTTCTCATGACAGATCAACTGCAGAAGAACTGCTAACACAAGCAGGAAAGGAACAGGAATTCAAACACTGTAGCAAGTGTATGCAGCCACCAGAGCCAGATCCAGGAGCTGACATCTCTGAGCAACTACAGTTCCTACACACACACACTTTTTAAGAAGGGACAATGAACTCAATTGCAACTGTGAAACATTACCCCTTTCTATATATGATCAAAGACATAGGCACCAACAATTGCATGGTGTGAAGCTATGAATTCTACACTTGAGTAAAGGCAGCCACTATAAGCTGAGTTCCAACAAGGTTTGATCCAGATATGAATAATGATCAAAGATAACCTTTATAAAATAAATAACATTGCAACTAAAGGTCATCACAAATCCAAGCTCCAATCATTTTCAGCTGGATAATCACTTGCCTTTCATTCTCACCTAAACCAAGCTTTCTAGAAAGTAATTTTACAACCAACAGCAACAACTTGACCAAGCAATTGCTAGTGGCTGAGCATCTGTCCTTGAGGGAAGTTTAGCTTCCAAAAATTAAAACAATTGTTAAGAACCTGTCTGTGGAAAAACTGGAGAATTGTGCAGTTTATACAAAGCAAATCTTCTGTCCCATCTCCCATGTTTCTACAGGAACACCTGTGTACCAGCACAGGCAGATAAACAATTGATATTCTTCCCACAAAAAGCTACTCCTTATTACTGCCTTCCTGCTTGTGTGAGAGGTTTGGCAGCGATCTTAAAACCTCCTTGATTACATGTGTAGCAGGAGCACAGGAGGAAATACTTGACAAGATGTCAGAAAACTAATCATGAACATGCTGTTTAAGCAGAGTATTCTAAGCTCGTTTAGTCATGCTCCTGAAATAACTCCCCCATAACCCAAACCAAAAAATTATGAACTTCCTCAGTCTTGGTGCACAGAGAGAGAGACTTTTGGAACAGATACATGTCATCCCATGCCACTTCCTGTATAAGGGCACATCTCAGTACAAAGAAGTCTTCAGGTATCAGACTGGATGCACCCTCACAGACAGATGAAGGACCCAGTAAACATCTTTTCCCTTAAAGCAAGGTCTCTGCCACAGTTTTGGAATCTGCTGTCAGAATGGCCTAACTGGCATTATAAAACAAAAACAACAGCCAATTTTCTTTGATATTCCCCACCTTTTCTTTTGTCTTTCTTAGAAGTCTAGCTGCATCTAGTTTCATGTGGACTCCAAGTAACCTTAGGGATGAACAAAGACTTCCACAACAGCTTGGAACTGAGTTGTCTTAACTCTGCAGGTATGTTCTTCACTCACCCATTTGTCACGAGAACTCCTGTTGGAGCGACATCTCTGTTGAGTGCTTCCAAAGACCAGCGGTACAAATTCTGGGATGATTTCTTGTTGGTTAAGTCATGCACTAAAATTATCCCTAGAGTGAAAGACAAGACAGCAAGATGCTATTTAATGATACATATATTTTTCCTTATCTTAGCAAAATGACATCTGCAGGTTCCCAGATAGCTGAGAATGGAGAAAGGGATGTGTAACCAGTTCAGTTACAGCGAATGAGTAAGGCTGAAAATATCAGGATGCAACAGGTTTTATAAAGCTGCTTATCAGGAATTGGAGAAGAGCTAAGAGAAAAATCCCATGAAAGGAAGAAACAAACAGCCACATCAAGGTTTAATCCGCAAAAGGATTCCAGGCATTCCTTAATTCTGCTCTGTCTAGTCACAAAGATACTGAAACTCTGCATTGCTGCAGCAGAGAATTTGGTCTTTCTGTTTTACCCAGCTGGCAAACATAATTATCTTTCTGTAACACCACCTAAGAAGTCTAAAGTCTTTTTCTTTGTTTCAAAGAGTTTAGAGAGCACTGTTGCTTTTCTGCATTTTCAAGAATTAATGCTACATTCTTGGGGAGGTATCCAAAGGGGAAATAGAGGCACTGATAAAACCTTCACAGTCCACCGAATGGCGGGTAGAAACATGAATTAATAAGATTTCTCGTATTCAAGATTAAGCTTCTAGCATTTTTCATTACCATGATCCTTCAAAATGTAAATTCTGAGACAGAAAAACAGCCAGCCAAACTGCCTAGCTGTGCTATTAACAGACACCCACTTCTGATAACCACAGTTCCGAACTCCATTACCAACTCCTGCTAGCAAATCTCTTCTATTTATTCACACCTTCTGCAATCTGTGGAAAGTTCCCACTTCCTCCAGACTTCAAACTATCATTAATTCAAGGGCAAAATGGAATTATACTCCTTATCTTCATCAGGGATTCATTCTCAACATACTTCACAGCCTACAGGTAGTAAAAAACCTTACTACTTTAATCTTTCACCTTACCTCCCAAAGGTGCTACCCACTGTGCACATTACAAACAAACCACATTCCCACAAACATTTCCCTACCCCACATGACTGTGCACAGACTCTCCTATGACAGTTCCACACATTACAAGACCCATTTCAAAGCATTTATCTCAGTAACAGCATAAAAAGGCAACTCAACTGCGTGTCCACCCCCAGTGTAAGGAGAAAAAGAGTAATACAACATAATTTGGCCTAAAGCAACAGATTCAGAGGCACTGCTACATAACCTGTGAGAAACACTCTCCACCTCCAGACACTCTCCTTCAGTTATGTTTTTGATTGGTCAGTTCCCTTATCTGCTTAACCTAAAACCTAACAGTTAGTTGCACCAGCAGAAAAAGACTGTGTCAACATCCAAAAAGTGCAGGCAGGACCAATGACTACTCAAGGAAATGTTCCTCCCACAAAAAGGTCTGCAAGCCAAAGCCTCACTGCCTAGTCACTGTCCTCCACTATCACAGATGGAGGGTCACCAAAGCAGCAAACCTGCACTCAACCCAAGAACAAACTGTACCTAACCTTGTCAACAACCTGACAGATGCTGTCACAACCAAACATGAACTGCCTTTTGATCTCATGTTTTCAGACCACTGCAAGCTCAGAAAGCATAAGCAGTCAGGCAGAAGGAATGCATTCATCTTCTCTTCTTAAATCAGGTCAAACAGAGGCAATTTGTGAGACAAGCTTTAATGAAGAAATTAATCTAATGGAAGAAACAAGAGCCAAGGTTAACTACCAAAGTCAACACTTTTCATATGCAAGCTGCCTAATAATATCTTTTCGGCAGTGGAGATAAATAGCTCTGTTTTAATAATGTCATCAATTATAACTCAGATGCATAAGTTCAAGATTTCATTTCCTAATGGGCTGTTCCAGGATATTTCCAAGTCTGACCCACACTCACTGGCATACTGTGGGTTTGGTGTCAAAAAGAAATCCATGTTTTTCGTGGAACAAAGAGGCTTAGCTTTGAGGGCACAACTCAAGGCTTATTTACAGAGATCTGGTTAACAATATAAGCAAGAGGTACCTATACATAGTTTTCCTCCTAGGAAAAGAGGAAGAAGTAACTAGTTAATCACAGACCAAAAATGTTTATTGTGTGTTTTAACATATTATTGAAAGGCCTTCAAATGACTGGGAACAAGAAAAGAGAATTAAACAGAACATTTGAGACTGATTTTCAGAAGCAGTTGTTAATCTGCTGTACATCTATTTTTAGTGAACAATCCTTGGATGACAAAAAGTGACAACTAAAGTACTGCTGCACTGGTATGTTTATAATCTTATTTGCTCTTGTTAGTGGTACAGATGAACTATTAGGCCTTTAAGTTGATATCTCAACAGAAGGCATAAAATATTACTTTCTATACACGCAGCAAGTTGCAAGATTCAATTCTTAAAAACCATTTGGTAAACTAAATGAGCAGAGGCAAGATGGTTATCAGCTTTAAGGGAGACAGTTCCAATTTGCCAAGGTAGGATTCAACTACCAAAGTTCATATAAATTCAAATTTCTCTGCTGTAGGTTTTGCAGCTGAACAGACAAGAAAATGTAAATCCTATTTCTGCATATATATCAGGCCTGGGAAGGTGAAGGCAACTTTTATATCTGCAAGTGTAGCTGGAAGGGACACTACTGCACCTTCAAAGACTCCCTGCTGTGCCAGCTGCACAAGACTGAAGAGAAAGGCTGATGAAGCTCATCTGCACAGGTTTGCCTAAAATATCTTTCCAGTTCAAAACTGAATCCATAAAATTCTGCCTATGAATGGTACCATTTTTGTCCCTGTAAAAATCAGAAAAGAGAACAATATAGCCCTCAGCCAGACTACAAGGAACCTTGCCCCAGAACCAAGAGACAGCTCTTAACAGAAACAATAATAAACCCAGATTTACCCCAAGCAAACTTACCATTCAGCAAGTTATAGAATACTGCTCGTGTGCTTTTCACACTAGTGGCACTACCCACTGAACCTCCAACATCCCACAGCTCAATGTAGTAGGTCTTCTCTTCTGGAGTCCCTTCTTTGTAGTCATGGATCTGATGAAAAATTTACATCACACATAGCCACAATATCAACTCACAGGGGTTAATCCACACGACACACATTCAGAGGGAAGGATTATTGTACTTGGATTGAAATTTGTCAATTCTCATGCTGACACCATTTCAGACCTCTCAAGTGGGAGAGAGATGGAATGAGTCAAGCAGCAACCATTGGATACCACAGCTCTTCTATGGGATGGAGCCTGGTGACTAAGCAGGGAGTACCCTTTCAGGATTTTCAGGATTAATAAACCAAACTCCTAATATTGTCCTTGGAAATAGCATGTTGCTAAAGCAAATGAAAAATTAAGGTATGACTTCCTACAGCTGTTAAAACCCACGTGGCAGCACTGCAGGAATATTAACACAGGTGACCACGTCAGGTTCCAACTGACCACATCCTTTTCCTCTCCAGATGCAAACTGACATCTCAGCTGAATGAATTGACCAACAACTTTTGTCCCCAGCCTGCTAGATAGTTTTGCTCCAGAGTCAAAGAGGACTGACACTTCTCAAATTTTGGAAATATATTCCTAACCTCGGGCAATGCATTGCAAGGAGAATGCGGCAAAGAGCGATGAAGGAACAAAGCATTTATCAATGTCCCATAAGGAGTGTAGGTTGGGCCAAAAAAATGCTGGATGAGTATCCTCTTTCCTCTGATAGCAGGTCCTGCATTAAGCCAGGAGGAGCAGCAACCCTGTAGTCACAGCCAGAACCCACAAACTAAACACTGAAACTGGTTTGCCCCAGTCAATTTACCTGTGCACTGCCTGTTTCTCTGGGCAGTGTGGATTAAATCCTGTGCCTTCTGATTTAAACTGGCTGCTGTGCACCTGGGAACATGCCAGTGGCCACTCCAGCAGGGAGAGATGCTGTGAGTGATAAATATCTGATTTTTACAACACTGGAAGGTCAAAACTTCCTCACACAAGTGTTTGGCTCACGTTTGACATTATTTTCCTCAAAAGATTAAGCCTTCATCAAATCACAACACCAAAGCACACTTCTTTCTGGGGTAGCAGGTGATGAAAACAAAGAAATAAAGGCAAGGCCCTTCTTCTCTTCCCTTACACTTCAGACTTAGAGCTACCCAGAGGCCGGGCACGTCACCTACTCGCACATCCACGGAGCAGCCCACCGTCCAGGACGGGTTTCCCAGCACCTGGTTGTGGCACAGCAGGTGAACAAGCGAAGATTTCCCGACACCTGCAAGTGCACAGAGACAAGGCCTGCTGGGAGGCGGCGCCGGGGCAGGC